ACCATTGAGCATTTCCTCGAAATTTTAAACAACCGCTTTGAAAGTATTAATTTCACTTGTGAAAAAGAAGTAGAAGGAAAGTTACCATTTTTAGARACTTTAGTAATTAGAACTAATAACGTATTAGAATTTGATATTTATAGGAAAAACACTAGTACACTTCGCTATATCACCGCTGACTCACATCATTGTCCTCAACATAAAATGGCGAGTTTTAATTTTTTAATTCACAGGCTTGTTAATTTTCCGTTGACTCATGCAAGGTTTGAAAAAGAGCTCAAAATTATTAAAGATGCAGCGAAGTGTAACGGTTTTGATGTTAACATAATTAGCAAAATGGTTCAAAAAGTTAAATATAGGAAAATGGTCAATAATTCCACGACTTTTACAAACACACCAAAGAAAACACAATTTATAACCTTACCTTATACTCCCTCAATCACAAGAGGTTTGAGTAAAATTTTCAAAAATCTTGACTACCAAGTTGTTTACAACTCTGGTAGAAGTCTCAAAAGTTTTCTTGGTAATCCTAAAGATAAAGTAGGACCATTAGAAAAATCGAGGATTTATGAAATTAATTGTAAAGATTGTGAACAAAAAATATATTGGGCAAACACGTCGTTCAGTTAACACTAGGTTTAAAGAACACATAGCTCATTTAAGATATAACAGATTTGAAAAATCAAGTGTGGCCCAACATATTTTTGAAAAAGACCATAAAATCGATGAAACTAATGTAAAAATCATTAGAGTAGTCAATAATTGTAAATTTCTTGACGCTTTCGAGAGTCTTGAAATATTTAAAAATAGAGATAATCTCATGAATGCAGACAACGGCCCCATTCCCTTTTCTCCCCTCTACTCGTTAGTTGGGGGTAGGGAAAGTGAAAGTCGGAAAATTAGTATATAAGGCATTACCATTGTTAAATTAGTTAGTTTTATTCTCACCTGAGGATGACCACTTTGTGGTCGAAACGCGTTGTGCTATTACAATAAAAGTTTGGTGTGACGGGCTAATCGTGTTTTTGTTCATAGTTAGATACCTACTCTACATCTATCTTTGCGAAAAATTTGGTATTTTAATATTTTAACTGAAAATGTTTCTTTTTGCTTAGCATTTGTGGTCTGGTAGATTTTTTGTTAAAATCATTCAATTGAAGGGCTTATTGTATAAACGTGATAAACCACTAATCAAATTATTGGAAAATAGGACTTTAAAAAAATTATATTTTGATAAGTACAGTAACTCAGACAGTAAACTCCACAAATCTTTTGGAAAATACCCAAACTTCTCTGTGTGTGGTTTGTCTTAGTCTTGATGATTACTATGGAGTTAAAATGTCGTTTTAAAAAGTGGGTGGGCCGCCACGTTTTTGCAATAACCACTTTAATTCAGTTTCTGATCCAAGCGACTGAAATTAAGTTGCCAACATTGAAATATGTAATTTTAGATTGTTTCAGTTGGCGGCAACACAAGACAATTGACATTTATTGAGTTTGATTGTCAACTTAACTTCAAGGTCAGAGGTTACTTTGATCAGAAATTTTTGTGAAACCTTGATATTAAAAACCAAGAAGATTTAGAAATTTTTTATGCATATATACGAGTATTATTTATAATTTTTTTACATATTTAAAAAAATAGATATTTTTTAAGTTGAAAAATACGTCTGTGATTGGTTGTTGTAATTTTCTGTCTTTTTTATATTTAATAGTATTTAATAGGTATCAAATTCATCGTGCCCTAAAGTTTCATATAATTGATTCCACTTTTTATAAATTTCTTTTTTCGGGAAATTCTTAATTGCCAACTTTTCACCAATGTCGAGATATGGAAAATGATTTTCTTCAACCTTCAATTGCGGCCAAGAAACATTTTCCATTGGCTCTGGAGTTGGATTCCTAAAAAAACTGGAAATTAATAAAAACTAAATTTGTAGATACAACCTAAATTTGGCAAAATTGGTCCATAGTTTAATTAAACGATTACGCACAATTTGCTCTTGTTTTGGATAAGTCGTGATGTCGCGAGTTAAATCAAACAGATAAAATAATTCCTCGCCATGAGAGACATTTCCAGTACCTAAATAAAAATAAACAGTAAAAAATTTAACAAAAAAAATTATTACCTGGATAATTTAGTTTAAAACCTGGAAATTGGCCATCATAAGAAAATTGGTAAAAGTAGGTTGGAGCGTAACTTGAATAAATCTCTGCTTGTTTCATTATAGGACGGGTCATGTCGTTATCACTGGAAAACTGAGCACAATTTTTGGAGAATTTTTATTAAAAAAGTCTTACTCGAATAGCGTCTCCAATATTTTCCGAAAAGTTTCTCCCCCCTGTGTACATTTCACGAATCATTTGACCAACTTTAATCAATTTTTCTTCATCTCCAATCATATCAACAGGCACCAAATTTCTATAATCTTCATCATACTTTTTGACATTTTGATCAAAATTTTTATGATCCATTGATAGATTCTCTTCAGTGGTTAACCCAATCATTAGTGGTACTTTAACAATGTTACCATTTTTCAACAATTTAAACATTTTTTCGCTAATAAAAGAATCTTCATTCTCAATTTCTAAAGTTGGTGCCCAATTTGATCCTTCAATCGCAGCAAAATCATCACTTGTACCATTCAAAATCTGAATTTAAATTAGTGTTGAAAATAATCGAAAACTTACCAAATCGTAAAACTTTTCAGCAGCTAATCGAATTGTTTCAGGCTTCACATTTTGCAAAACATTTAGTAATTCTTCTGAATCATTACGTTCCAAAAACATATTATTTATAAAACCAGCAGTGAGGAAAGCTTGTCGTCTTGGTTGTCTTTGGTAGGCCCATGGCCCCAAAAAAGACCCACTTTGACAAATAGCGGCCCAAAATAAATTCTTCGGTTTGGGATTTAGGAGATGATAACCGACTGAAGCCGACCCTGCACTGTGCCCAAAAATTGTAATTTTTTGGGGGTCACCACTGAAAAGTTGAATATTTTTATTGACCCATTTCAAGGCCAGGTTTTGATCTTTTAGACCGTTATTCCCGGGAATTGTTTCATCTTGAGTCGAGAGAAAACCTGAAATTTTATAGTAAAAAATAGTAAATGGTTTGTTGTGGAAGTACCAAATGGCCCCAAACGGTAATTAAAAGTGACCAAAACCACTCCATTTTCGACAAAGAGTTGTGGGTGATATTGCTGGGACATTCCTTCCGTGAAACCACCACCATGGATGTATACCATAACCGGAAATGTCCCATTTCCTGATTCCGGCAAATCTGGTGTGTAAACATTCAAAAAAAGGCAATTTTCCGATTGATTTTTCAAATTGTTAAACATTTGATAACAAACGACGTCCATAGTGGTACAATCCAAGATACCAGCCCAACTTAAAGGTTCCCGAGGGTTACGAAATCGCAATGTACCAACAGGTGCTTGGGCATATGGTATTTTTTTGAAAGAGTAAAATTCTTTTAGTCGTGAGGTTTGCAATTTTTGGCCCCTAATTAAACCGTTTGGAAGTTTTACCACGGGGTCACTCAGATCAACCTAAATCTTATTATACTAAAAAATTAAAATAAAATATAATTTATTTACTCCAATTTCCAGTGAAAAAAGCACAAACAGTTGAACACACTTCATGTTTGTTGAGAGGCGTTGGTATCAAATGACTTTAATTTCATAAATGCGACACAGTTATTATCAAAACCTGTCTCAAATGTGACTAAAATTTAAAAACTTACTCATCATTTTCTGGTCAATATATCAAATTATTCACTTACATCATATGAGTGTTTTGAAGGACTTTATAGCTTTTTTTTCTTACTGTAGTATTTTGCTTAATAAAAACGTCAAACCTTATTTGATATAATAATATGTACATATTGACATGCCGTTTGTAACATCCGGTAGATAGATCTACTTGATGTGTACCTACATTTAAAAAGAATATTACACACAGGGTGTTTTATAAGGAATGGTGAACTAAAGATATAATTTTTAAATAGAACACCCTATACAGGGTGTTTGTGGATTGCGAGCAAATATTTTAACCACTAAGAGAATTTGTTATGAAAAGTCGAATTGAAGACCAAACAAATTCCGTATCCAAATTTTATTTTTGCAATTTCCCCCCTATGATTTCCACGAGCCGTTCAGTGTGTCTGTTCTTGTTAATTGGAATTAAAAATATCATTGAAAATAAATTGCTTTGAATGTTGACCGTGAAAGTTTTTATACAGAAAAAAGGAAACTTTTTGTCCAAAAAAATTATCACTTGTTTACACGTGTCAGTTTAGTTAGTCGTTAATGCGCTTTCGGGTGAATTGTGCACATCAATTTGAAATCAAATTGTCAATCAAGTCATTATGGCCAACTACTCAAACGCCAAATTAAATAGTGCTTCCAAGACCGATTTTCACAAAATGTTTGGGCACATCATTGAAGATCACCAAATTGGACCCCACATATTACCTGAACGTTTAACTAGTGCCGTTTATCTGGATTTTTTGGAAAATGTGTTGTCCGATTTGGTGGAGGACGTGCCCTTGGCGACACATGCGGTAGCTTCATCAGAGCTCCATCAGATTATGCCAAAGTCGTCACCAATGGATTGAACAATAATTTTCTCTAGAGATGGATTGGTCGCCATTCACCACCGCGGTCATCAGATTTAAATACGTGTATTTTTTGGTTGTTCACATGAAACAATTAATGAATTAGTTAGTGTACGCAGCTCAAATTTATACCTTCGAAGGGCTGTGTGTGCGAACGCAAGCTTCCCTAGCCCGAAGAGTACAAGAAGTGTGCATTGCCAACGAATGACCACATTTACCGAGCAATTTTTTATAATAGCAAGTATTGACCCACTAACATTGACACTGATCCACCTTAATGTAGCGATAATTTTTTTGTCTTTACGCTGTTTACGTTCCAAAGTTTTTTTCTTATGAATGAACGTAAACATCGTATTAAGATATAGGCGGGGACGGGTTTTCAGCCTCAATTTATTTTTAATTTTAACTCAAAAATGACGTGCTTTCGACAAAAGTTGGAGTAACGAAAGTTGCTTCTTTTGCCGAGTTCTATTAGTGGTTAAAAAAATATTTGCTCGCAATCCTCAAACACCCTGTAGTTCAAGCACGTAGATAGAACTTTACAGGGTGCCAACACGCACAAAGTTGAGTAACTTATTTTTTGTAGGTATTTGTTTTCTCATATCAATAGCATTTTTAACAAGATTTTCAACGATATGATTTGTATAGTACCTGAATTTGGAATATTTCTGGAGGTTTTCAAAAAAAGTTTTTTTAGTAATTAAGTAGTATAGCTATTAAGACAACAAGAGTTTTAAAGCCAATGCATTAGAAATTTTACTTTTAGAAATTAGTATAAAGAAGGATGTCAAAATGTTTATTATACTTTCGAATAGTTTTATGTTTGTATTATTATATCAAATTTGTTATTTATGTTTGAATATAAAATTATCATGATTATTCACGTTTTTATAAAATTGTTGAGTGACTGTTATCATCGTATCTCTGATACTTATTTTCATTGAATCACTTCCTTTCTGTCGAAAAATGATGCTCATCATTTAGAAAGAAATTTAATTTTTCTGCATTTAGAACTAAAATGAATCTGATCAGAATTCTCCATTTTTGGATCTGCTGCAATCCACAAATTACATGATTTTTTTCTCACAAAAAAAATTCATTATTATTGTAAAAAAACTACAGCCAAGGGATAAAGATAAAAACTAATAATAAAAAATTTAAGACTAAATTTATTTATTAAAAATTACAATTATTAAAACAGTTGTTTGTATTACAAGGCCATTTTGCAAGATTGCAAGTGTGAGCGAAGTTCACTTGCAGTTGTAAAACAGTTTCTGGCCGTGTGAAACACACACGTCCGACCAACTTTAGATTTTTTCAAAAGGATCAAATTTGTTCAAGATTTAAGTACTGAGCATTTCGGTTAATTGCACAAATTGGAATTATTATCATAATAAATAGATAATTATTGTCATAAAATTTAAATGGTCCTTTGCATGATGGCTTGTTTGGCTTAATTACAAATTACAAACAAACCCTTTGTTACATAAACGATTGGTTTGAAAGCCAAGAGACCACAGTCTTAGACTTTCAGTAAAAAAAATATCAGAAACTATAAAAAAATAAAAACAAAGGTAGGTCCTCACCACACATGACTTGGTCGAGATATTTCATCGATTGTAAATTTAACAATGTGGGAAATTTTTTCTTGATTTTCTTTAAGTACCTACGGAATCGATTTCCTCTTGGAGCTTCTTTTGAGCGTCAGGATTTACTGTTCATCACTCATTCCGAAAGAAAACTATCAAATGTTTAATACCAATTCGTTTAATCAATGTTAAATCTCAAATTAAGGTGCTGGAATTCTCATTTGCATATAACCCATATATCTATAAAGTTTTCCAGTTTTTTGAAATAAATTTAACAAAAATACTTGTTTTTTTGAAATAATGTGTGTTTCTTCTGAGCAACAACAGGCCTCATACTTCCAATGAACGATTATGATAGATCATGAGAAATGTTTCTTTATTCCTAAAAATGTGCCATTTTTATCAGTTTGGAGTAAATTAGGACACTCAGTATTACATCTAACACTATAGATAACATTTTGTTGGTGACAGATTTTAGATTTGTTTTATTTGATAACAACTCTCTTAAAACAAGAAATTGTATAAATCATTACCTATCGTACGTTTTAGTTAAGATTTTAATATTAATTCTTTCTAGGTCTGTACCGATGATAAATCCCTTTTTTCAAAACCAGAGTACTGCTGATCGGGCAAATTTACTGTTTTATTTTTAACAAGTATTTTCGAAAAATAATATTAAATTAAAATAGTTTGTTATTTTATTACGTAAAGTTTTATTGACCAACGAAGATTCATGTTAGGGACTTAAATGAGTCGGTAAAATATAGCTTTTTTGGGATAGTATACAAAAAAGTTTCTTATTTTTTCACTTGTTTTATTTTCATTTTCATTACATTTTCAATACTTTTTTAATCACCTCATCTGTCTGGATTGGAATGTAAGGTGAATCCCTTCTTTTGGAGTAATATTTCCATTATTTGGACTTATTTTAAGCGGAACCACTGTCTTGTCATTTGTTACTATATCACATTTTGATAACAAATGGAAGAATAAAGTTTTTATTTCCAACAAAGCAAACCTCGAACCTGAAATTTGCGTTAAAATTTTTCATTTAATTTTTTTTTTTCGTACCAATGCAATTTCTTGGGCCAACGCCAAACGGCATATACGTCCCTGGCACAATTTTGGCTTTATTTTCGTCACTAAATCGTTCAGGATCAAATTTATCTGGATTTGGGAAATATTGAGGGTCTCGATGTATTCCATAAATAGGTATAATTGTTGTCACACCTTTCTCAATCGTAAATCTCCTTTCGGGTGGCTTGGTTGGCTCAATTACAAAGTCTTGATTACAAAAACGATCAGTTTGTGGAGCTGGAGGCCAAAGTCTTAAACTTTCTGCAAAAAAAATTAAAAAAAAATAAGGACAGCTGGAGGTACTTACCACACACGACTTGGTCAAGATATTTCATCGATTGAATCACGTTGTACGAAATTTTTCCTTGATTTTCATCAAGTACATAATCGATTTCCGCTTGGAGTTTTCTTTGAACATCTAGATTTGTAGCTAGTTCATGTGCTAGAAAACTAGCACCAGTTGAAACAGTATCAAAACCGGCAAAAAAGAAAATTAGAGCTTGAGCAACCATTAAGTCTTCTGTAAGTTCCATCTGTTTGGTGTTTTTGCCAATGTCTGATTCTTCAACGGTGGCAAAACCATCATTAGCTTCGTTATTGTTATCATGTTTGAGTTTGCCTTTACGAGCTTCCATTAGAAGATAAATCAAATCTGGACGAATAATCTCCTGATTTTCTCGTGTGTGTATATTGTCAATGATAATATTTCTGAAGAAATTCATAACTTTTTGATTAAAAACAGGTAATTTAAAAATCTGAAATTTGCATATTAAACATTTGTTGATACTACAAAATTGCTGTTATTTACCTCAAAAATTTGAGGAAGTGATTGTGCCAAAAGCAATTTAATTAATTGAAAACCTTTGAACGAAGTCAATGATTTGCCCATTAAATAAAATTCGTTATTAGGTTCTTTCAAAGAATTAATTTGAATCCCAAATGCTGCTGTAGCAATCACGTCGTTGGTAAATTTCGAGAAAATATCCTTAACTTCAACATCTTGTTCTTTGTCTTGAAAATGTCTAGCAAAATTTTCAGCACATTCGTAAATCAAATTGTACATATTTTTCATTTTACTGCTAGTAAAAGCTGGACTTAGAGTTGCTCTCATTTGTTTCCATTCTTCTCCTTGTAAAATACCCAAACTTTTATTGAACAAGGGTTCAGTTTTAACAGCAGGTATAGCGAGATGGTCGCGAAAATTATCAAAAGCTTTCACTCCGATTTGTTTAATCAAATCCAAGTCTCTTATTAAAAGAGCTGGATTTCTAAACTGCATGTAACCCACGTATCTAAAAAAAATCACAATTATTAACTTCATTGAGTGATTTTATTTTTTTTCTTGGCATTTTGGTCTTGTACCATCTTCTTAATTAAATGAGAAACTTAGAAAATCATACCTGTCATTTTGATATTTTTTGTAAATATCAGCAGATATTTCATTTAAATTTTTCTTCTGAATTACAGAATCCCACATACTTCCTACTAGAGGCCATGCTGAAACATGAGTGATATTTCTTTCCTCCCAAAAACTTGCCGGTTTTATTAGTTTGTAATAAATAAGAGCGCTTAATATCACGGTTAGGATTATAGTCAACATTTTGATAAAGACTGATTCTCTGTAGACTCGAGTTGTTTATTTATAGTATTATCACCAGTTAGTGACTCAAGGTACTCATAGAAAGATAAGAAAACTAAGAGTGTGAAACCGCATGACACAGCCACTTCGGCTAAGTTGGGTAAATCTTCGTGATGTACACAATTTTAACAATTTATTTAAAAAAACTATTCGTTAATTTTTTTTTTATTTAATTAGAAGTCATTTTTAGAACATAATTTTTAATCAAGAAAATATAGATCTGTCAATAAGAAATTACTACCTAGGATTTAAATTTTTAGGAAAATTACGTTTTTCATGTTGTTTGTAACTAGAATTTTCTGAAATTTTGAATACTTAGGTTTGGTTACCCCTTGTAGTTGACGGTTGACGTTTTCTGTCAACCTGCTGTCAGCTATCAATTGAAATCTCCATACAAGCTGGAGCTGACACTGGTTACGATATCTTTTGTTTGTCACCAAAAACCAACCTAATCAAATTTATGGCAACCTATTCACGAATATCCCAAAATTCTAGGGAGTAATTTCTTGTTGATACGACAATAGGTTGCTAATTAAAAAATATAATATTTTGCAAAACCCGATAACTAAAAGGAATTTCGAAAAATTGTGTTCTTGAAAAACGATCTTGTAGACTTGATAATGTACTAATTACTTTTTTTATAAAGTAATTATTTTATGCAAAAAAACGCTTGATTCCATACTGTTCATGTGAGCAATGAAATTTTAATTCAGGGAGGGCTTTAGAAATTTTACGTATGTCTTCTACTGATTTTGAGTAATTGAAATATTCGCAGTTAGTAACCAGTGAGGCTGCTTTTAAGCAATCTACTTTCTCGGTATTTTAAATTTAGATTAGATTTCGCAATTTTTTTTTTGTTAATTGTGTTAATAATTCGTAGATCACCTAAATCAGCAACAGAAGAATCGCTTGACTTCGGAGGCCAAATAATTGTCTCTGTATTTAAACTAATCATGCGATATCCAAAGAATTACCACAGAAAGGTAATGTTTTCAACGTGGGTCAAAAGTGACAGTTGAAATAAACTATTTTCAATGATTAAAATAACAGATGATTTTTATGTCGATTCCTCTTATGTTTTTAGTTGTTACTTCTTTAGTCAAAATAATAAATAAATAAATAAATAAATCATTTAACGCTAGAAGTTTTATCTCTAGTAGGTATAGTGTAAAATCATTTATTGTTACTGAGTCATGACAAAAGTTTTATTTACGACAAGTAATATGTACAGTTGCGGAATTAAAATTTCGGGCAGTATTTAGTCACTTTAAAAAGTAAAAAGTAAATCAAAATGACATAAACGTGACAAGACTAAAAAAGGTTATCAATGTAAAGATTGTTTTAGAGTTTACATTATGATAATGACAATACTGCCCGAAATTTTAATTCCGCAACTGTACTTAGTATTTAAAAAAATATTTTTTAACCGGCTAATAATTTTTTTCGTAAGTAACTTTTTAGTCTAAATATTAAAAAAAGATAGAAATCGCTGCTGAAACTTGTTCAAAAGACAAGTCATCACCATTACGAATTTCTTTATATTCTAGTTGTTTTTCGAGCGTTTGATAACATTGTTTTTTGAGTCAATTTGGGATTCCTGAAGTACTCGTCCAGTAGGCTATTTTAAATTGCTTCTGAAGTGGCTATCTTTCAGTCAAAAAATTATAAAACCAATTTGTATTTGAATTAAATACACTTGAGGCTCTTTTCCCTTTCTTTAAAACATTTTATTTTTGAGACTTTTACAAAACATTCGTGTTACAACAGTTGCAAGATTTTTACAAGAAGCGCATTTGATAGAATTTCCACAATATCAGTATTTGGGTTTGGGACAATCGTAGAACAAACATAGTTGACATAACCGTCAAATGTTTCATTTTCAGATTGATACAATTCTTTAATTTCGTCATAAACGGTATAAGGCATTTCTTTTTGACAATTCCTTTTGAAGAATCAGCTTGATCTTGGTACAAATAGTTGATAAAAATTCGAACTATTTTACGTCAAAAACCCAAGACTCGAATTTATTTGAGCAAAATTTAGAAGTAAAGTTCGAAGGATTACAACAAGTCGTCTTTTCCGAAATGATGACAAACAACACTCAACAAATGCAAAGAAAAAGAACTTAGCACTTAAATAATCAAATTTAAAGCAAAGAATTCCGGCATTCCGGCACAAGTTGGGCTTTTGGTACTAACAAAATAATTCCCAAAGAGTTCTTAAATCAAATTCATCACTTGTCGACTTGTTAACAACAGTTGTTGAGCATTGTATACTGTTGTCTTGTTTGCAACAAACCTGTAGATAAATTTGTAAAGTACCTACTAACCCAATATATTGATGTAAGTTTTGTTAATGGGAGACGCACCAAAAGCCCTAATTTTGTTACGGGTTATATTTAGCTGAAATTTCAGCAATTCCTGAATTAGTTTCTGAAGGCAATTTCTTAAAGTTGATTGTTGTGGTCACTGTAGAAAAACGGGTACATGTTGAAATAGACACCTGAAATTGTGGTGTTTTTCGGAATTTTGCTAGAGGAGTACCAAATAGTCTTATTGGGATAAATTCAAGACAGGGGCCCAGAACTACGGACTCTACCTCTTAATGAAATACGTTTTCATGAACGTAGGAATTGTACCTTCGGATGTTAGAATTAAAGCCCTCTAAACGAAATACTTTAATAACTTTCCGAAAATTTCTTTCGGTTTAAATTATGTATTTAGCTCGTGAGTTAAAATATGAATGTCAAAGTGGTCAATATTCAGCAATCGCAATTTAACAACGTGGTGTATCTGGAATTTGAATAATGTCAAATATTGCACTAGTACTGCTGACGATCTGGCGATGCAACCCAAAAAACAAGTTTCATTTATGTTTTGATCTAATTTTAATCACGATTTTTATTTGCAATCCAAGATATCTTATGTTGCTCTGACAGTGCTTAAAAAAACTGTTGCCTAGCTTTAATGTTTCATTCGTTCATTCATTTTGTATTGGGTTTCCACCGAAAAGACTTCTCTAATTTCTCTATCATTCTGCGAGAACTGAATGGCACTAATGGTCGTTCTCTGCGCTGATGTCAGAGTGACATAAGATGAAAACTTGGATACATCTTGCAAATCCTAATTTAAATGGGATCACAGGCGTAAATGAAATTTGTTTTTTGGTTTGCATCATCAGATCGTCAGGCTCGTTATTTTATCTGAATTGCCCTGTATAATATCGTACAAGAACTAAATAACTTAAAAGTTATAGTTTTAAAAAATTGCAGTTTAAAAATTTGAAAGGCACAAAAATACACTTTGCAAGTAATCAAAAATAATTATTATTAGTCTTACAGGTGTGTAATATACTAAACAATGTTTTTTTAATATGATAGAAAATTTGGTTTTATGTTTTAGAAGTATTGCAAGAAACACTTGAGAAATGCCTAAAATTTAAGTTATCTAGTTGTTGCACTAAGGGGACGATATGACACATAAACAGATAATTACGAGTACATTAATCACATCCGCTTCAATCAACTCATCATAACTGTAAAAGGCATTTTTTATCAAAAATCTTTTCACAGTCTTCTTAAAATCACCATTCTGAAGTAACGCAGCTAGGCAATTCGTTCAAAAATAAGGGACCGTAGTAACTCATACAATAATTTGATTTTTTTTTGAATTCCTTTCACTAGCTTCTATATTATAATTATTTAAAACTTGCTCATGTTTATGCACAATATTTTTAACATATAAAAGACAGTACAAACTAGTTAGTGTTAAAATATTTAGTTTTTTAAATTTAGACCTTGAATCATCTCTATAAAGCATCCTACTAATTACTTCCAATGCTTTCCCTTGTAGATAAAAATTTGATGAGCAGAAGGAGCATGCCCCAACATAAGTGAGTCTAAGAGGCATATGACATTATTAAAGCATGAAATGCAGTTTTTAACACTCGTTGAGGAAGAGGGATGGGTAAACGTAAATTTTTCGATGAATTATTCCGTTTACTACAATTGCTACATTATAATGTAACAAAAGTATCATATTGCTCTTGTTGGTCAATCACATGTCAAACCCTACCATTTTTCTAAAACATATATACTTTTTTTAAAACGGTCATCTACTCATTTATGTGCTTATGCTCAACATTTTTTGACAGATGGAATTTTTTAAACATTTTTTCTGTGTTCCTGGTTTCTTATCTCACTTGAAATTTATTTTTCTCTGGGGTGCGAGTTCTGAAACAAAAAAAAATTTTCTAAGAAATTTTGGAAAAGAGGTTAATATATTTAATATGTTAATCGTATTCTTTGTTCCATCCTGTTTTCTTGTGTTCTGGCTTAGCTTCTTTGGACTTACTCTCGTAGTTACAATTTGTCATTTTGAAAAACGAGATTTTAGTTTTGATTTTGTGGAAGTAGAAAAGGATGAATTTTTACTAAAAGAAAATACTAAAGAAATAGAAGAGTCCACAAGATGTCAGTCCTCAGAACGGTGGAAGGTTAAGAGGAAGCTACTCCTAACAACATCCAATTTTAGTTGAAAAAATGCCTTTTGTGGAAAACAACAGAACAGAACAGAATTGAACAGAACATAGAAAAAAGTGCATATTGAATAAATTTCTAAATATGAATTGTTTTAGAAAACAATCGCTTTAAAAAGCGATGACACAATGACTAAGTGCACTTTTATCAGTGCTGATAGATCCGCATCAGAGCAGAAATATGTAACTCTTTTCTTTTTTTTTGTAAAATTTAATAACAAAACGCATATTAAAATAAAAGAGTAATAACAAGAAACAAAAACAATAAACTAAAACTGAAACAAATATTCGAAATGAGCTCCATTTGCTCTGATGCAGGTCTTACGAGGGTGGCTCCCTATGCTCCACCTCTGACTTACTTCTGAGTGGTTGTTTGATTTATATTTTTAACAGTTAGTTAACTGACATGTATTTGACTACTTTGTATCTCAAACCGTTGCTGTGCTGTGGCCAATTGTTTATCTGTGTGTCGTGATTGTTTATAAAGATGGAACCTGTAGAACAAAGAGCCGTAATAAAAAACCTCCAGAAAAAGGGTATGACGTCAACTCAAATTCATGAAAACATTGTGGCAACTATTGGGGAGTCTGCAGTTTCTTATGACATAGTCAAACATTGGTGTCGAGATTTTAAATGCGGAAGAACATCCTGTAAAAACCAGAATGTCGGTGGTCCTCCCATAACGGTAACAACTGCCAAAAATATTAAAAAGGTACACGATATCGTACTGCAAAACCGACGAGTAGGCATCAGAAACATTGTATAAGATACTGGCTTATCATATCATGTGGTGCACCACATACTGAATAAAGAATTAGATATCAAAAAAAAAGATGAGTGCAAGATGGGTGCCCCGAATGTGATCAAAAACGAAATCGGGTGTTGACTTGTGAGCGTATTTTGGAAAAGTACCAAGCAAACAAAGAAAACTTTCTTAGTTCGTATGTGACCCTAGACGAGTCATAGGTGCACCACTATAATCCCGAACCAAAAGTGCAAAGTAAAGAGTGGAAATATGAACTGATACAAGCTGTACAGAGGTGATTTGTAGAGGTCGGACAAAAATTTTTCCTGGAGACTGTTGAGATGTTGGAGCAACGATCGACCAAGTGCATTATTGTAGAGGAAGACTATGTCAAAAAATGAAAAATATAATACCACTGTAGTTTGACTGCAAGGGGGTCAGGGGTGAAGCATAGGGATCCACCCTCGTAGCTCTGCTAACCAAGAAAGCGGAAGCTTTGGCTATTTCTTCGAGGTTATTCCAAATCTCTTCCGCAGCAGTCATTACGCTGGTATACTGATGAACGTTTGTCTGGATGGTAACCTTAGGTCCGGATGTACTAGATGTCCCGAAAAAATGTTGAAAGATTTTGGAGGTGGTTCCCTAGGTCCAGAAATTTATCCTGGGGGACTTAGAGCCAAGAGAACCCTGAAAATAACAGACAAAAGATCTTTTTTTAATTATCTTAGTAACTGGTGGACATAAGATTACAAAAGTTATCGGGAGTAATTATTTTGACGCTGATCTATTGGTCCTATTAAAAATGTTGTACCCTAATTAGGGGGCGGAGGCACTATATTATAAATAAATCACGTAAAGAAAAGGTTAACCGAGCCCATAGAGCGAGTTGGGTATTTTTTTTAAGTAATAAGATACACGACATGTGTAGAATATACAAAACTTTATCCAACGTACACCTAAGTTATGCAATATTTTATTCATTTTAAATCACTATTTTGATTTGTTATAAGATAAAGGACAAAAAAAAATGTAATTACTAAGAGCATTATTATATTTATCCGCAAACGTCAGAAAAATGACGTCTACCTTTCAGACATGAGGTAAAAACAATTTTTTTGCCTAAGCGTTTTTTTACTTTTACTTGACATTTACTAATGTTGCCTCTTTCTTGTCTCTTTCGCTCCTTCAGCATTTTCTGGAGGGGTAGAGTGTAGATTATCAGCATTCGACATTTTGCACTATAAACTACATTAGTTATTCACTACTTAAATCAATCAACACTTACGAAAATCTCAACACAAATTCCGAAACTGACGTGTGACGTTTGTTACAAAGCGTCCTGATTATTTTGGTGATTTACCTGATAATAATTAGTGTGTTGCTCTTTTCTCTCCATCTGAATCGTTTTTATTAGAACACCCTGTATCTCATGAATGGATGGTCTGATTTAATTTTGGTAAAATGTTTTGAAAAGCTTGTTAAAATAGCTTTCATTTGATGTGCCACAAGTAGGGTAATGCCTTTTAAATTTTTAAAGTTGGGGTGCGTGGCGGTTAGGGGGTTACTGGGAGTGATTTAAAAATTACGTCAAAAAATGTCCTCCTCGAAAACAAACTTGACCTGTTTCGGCGTTTTTGCAAAGTTTTTTTAGTTTCCGAGATATTCGGGGTTGCTTGTTTTCATTGGAACACCCTGTATATTATTTGGAGTAAAAGTGAGTTTATGTGGCTCAGCTGAATTATTTGCCTCACTCCATTCGGCAAAATGAACGTTCAGCTTCGCCACATAAACAATCACTTTTACTCCTAATAACATATTATACAATTTTTGGCAAGAATTTGTATATGTAATTGACGTCACACTAGCGAATTGACCAAAGAAGAGAAGGGTCTACATTTTTCTCAATTTTTTGCACAACATTAAGTTAAATAAAAACTTCATAAAACTATTAGAACTGAAACCTAAAACTTTTTTTATAAAATGCGTTTTTTATTTATTTCAAGTAAAATATATTTTTGACACTTAACAACCCGGCGCATGCACCCCAAATCAAGCAACAAAAGGGGTAAACGACCACAAAATCAATACGCGTTTCCGCATATCACAACTTAACCAAAAGGTGGCGTACTATTCAACCACTTCCTCGTGTAATAGTGAAAATCTACGAAAACCAACCCCACCCGCTGAATTTGTGACGGATTTAATCCTGAAATTTTGTGTTTGTGATTGTGTAATGTAATCCTACCGGTGTTTCATTTTCATGTAAACAGTGTGTTTCATGTTTGGGAAGAGGATATCTGCATGGTTAGTTTGTTTTATTTGTTATTGATCTGAGTATTACACTTCCTTGTGTAACCAAATTATGTTATAAACAAATGGAATGATAACAACGAAATGGAAAGTAATATTGTTTTGTTTTCACTTTTCTTAGAACTTATTTTAAAAAACTACTTGATTTATTGTATTATTATTGATATTTGGAATGAAGAGATTTTTTTAGAGACCTGTTGTTATATTGATTTGGAAAGTCATTGTCACTTCAATTGGTCACTCTTTACAACAGTTTTAGGTGAAATCATGTTTTCTACACGAGTAATATTTTAAAGAAATCAACTGCGAAGTAAATTGGCTCACAACGAGTACATCTTTTATTTTATATTTTTCTTAATGTACTTAAGCTTCGATTACAAGGTAGTTTTTAACTAAAATCTACTTAATTTTAAAACATTCAATTAACTTCACTAATTTAAAGTAATTTGAAATTTGACCCCGCGCATCCACCATTTTTAAAAATTATTTTGATAAACAAATTATTTTCTATTCAATTAGTAAAAACATAACCTAATTTTTTGATACAAACGGAGGCTCTGTTTTTGATTTAAATAGGAACTTTTCTAGAATATATGTTACAATTTGAATTACATTTTATTAATTGAGAAAAAAACATGGCAAAATATTTTTTTTATAAACTTTGAAGTAAAACTTTGTTACTAAAGAAAAAAAAACGTACAAAGTCTTCATAATAATATGGAAATTGACAATTCTGTTTTTTTCTCAAACAAAAGGCTTGAAAAAAATCTGAATTCATTTTATGCTTAGCTAAAAGTCTTCTAACACCATTTGAGAGTTGGTCCAACACTTTTCAATCACCCTGTATAATATTGGAAACAAAAATAAGGTGCAATGATAATGATCAGATATAAAATAATGCGGATTTATTTCTTAAAATTGTAGACACGAAAGAAAGAAGAAATGAGTGAGTAAGCAGCTGAAAATTTCTTTTAAAATTGTTACTAGTCACGCCATTTATACTAAAATAGGTCAAAGGATACATTTATTTACGCTTTTTGTCACTTTGAATTTATTCTTTTTTATTTGAATACTTCAAAAAAATATTGAGGATAGAGTTGAAGTTATGAAAAGAAATGTTTGTGTGTCTGTTTTGGCGTGATTATAGACAAGTTGTATCAGGTTCAAAAATTTAAAAAAACTGATGGTCATTAATGTAAATTCTAAACAAAATTATAAAAGCAAAACTTCTTTCTTGTTATGCTATGAAAATCACAGACAGAGGTCATTTCAAAACGAGTGTGTTTCTATCGGTAACTAATTTATTCGAGTTTTAATAAGAATAGTAGATCTGCCACCAACTAGTATTACCAAACTAATAATAAAACGATTATCTAAGTTATGAATGTACGTACAACCTCGAAAATGTAATAAGTTATCAATTACAAAACTTGTGTTTAAAAACTAATTTATTAATGACTATAAAAGTTTGACGTTTGAATTTGAAAGTCAAAGTTGCCAAATTAAAATTTTAAATTTATGTATTTATTATCTAACAATGAAAACTTTATGAATATTGTAAATTCATTTACTCAAAATGGTTCATTGAAATGAAAAAAAATTGATTTACTTTTTTGCAAAAAAGTTACATTTTTTATTTTAATCGGTGGCTTTGCTGGTTTGATAAGGTTTACTATCCACAGTTTAATGTTTTTTATTGAATTTTGAAAAAATTGTATTAATAAAATATTGGCAAATTAGGTATATTATATGTATGTATTGGTAACTAATCGAATTAATTGTTTCTACTACAGTCGCAGTAAAAAATACACCCTAATGAGATTCCGATACAATTAATTTGGTACCAAATCCATTATATTTATTAAGAACATAAAATTCATACAGGGTGAACGTAAAGTGTGGAACCAAGCAGTTTTTTTTAATTATCTTCAAAAAATAATAATTAATATAAATTAACGTAATATAAAAAATGAGATCGTATTTTGAGAACGAAATTTTGTCTTGTTTTTTGAGTTATGCGATTTTTTTTGTCAAAATTGCAATTTATGTAAAAAAAATTTTTTTTTAATTAAACATGAAGCAGATAGTTGTAATCCTTAGATCATAACCTTTATGAGAAAAATAGTTTTATAGTGGGTTGCTATTTAAAAAAATATTTTTTTTGTAGAACTCAAAAACAAGAGAAAATTTCGAAAAATTTTATTTGTGACAAAACATTACATCTTTAAAGTACTTTATCGTTCATCAATTAGTTTTTCCAAAAAATTAATAGTTTAAGCCAAAAACGTTTGGTTCCGTACTTTTTATTCACCTCGTATACTATATTACACTCGTGTAATATGAACTAAATTATGTGTCTATAGATACGCATATAATAACATTACTATTAAACAGTCGTACAGATGAAATAATTTTTGGGATAGAATTTAGTAATTAGGAGATTTTGTTTGATTATTGATATTTATTATTAATTTATTATTCTCTTTCAAAACATATAAAAACATTATATCAAGAACAAAAATCCGTGTTGATGATTTAGTACATCTTTAAATTGAAATTTCATCTTTTCTATTTTATGATTTATTTTATTACAGTATCGCTTCTCAGAATCACGAGTATAATATACACCAAACAGTTTCTTGATCATAAATCCTACTCTAACGACAGTTTTTCTAGTCTTTAAAATCTATTTTCTTATTTTTAATTTTAAAAACTTATAATGTCTTATTCACTTTTCTTAGAAGACACTTTTGTCGTAAATTAGTTTTTGATGTGTATCCTCATTGCTTTGATTACCAATATTATTCATAACAAAAAATATAAAATCATTAAAATGTAAAGTTATGTCAATAAAAAAGACTTTTTCACAACATTCATATCTTATACTGTTTCTATGGTGCATTTAAGCTTACCTCTTATGTTCTCTAAAATACATCTGAATGACAACATATACTTTATCAGTACACTTGAGCCCAAAAAAAACGCCAATTGTTTTTTTTTAATGCAATTTGGTCTGTTAATAAATGTCAGTTTTTGACGTTGTCTTTGTCACAATTCACAATTTCATAATTGTCAGGCATCTTCTAAACTTCTATCAAGTTTTTCCATTTTGTTTTTAACATTGACTATGACACTGCACTGGCAAGACCACTAAATAAGACATTACTTTTGATAGTTTTCTAACCTTTGTGGGAACAAGCTTTTTCACACTATGCAAATCTCTGAAAATTTTGACAATTTTGTTTATAACAATTTGCGTTTTTTTGCACTCAAGTGCAAAATCTCTTTATAACAACTTCGAAATTTAGTAAAATATCTGATTCAATAATATATAGTATTAAAATTTTTTTGGAGGACAACACAAGTTTTATTGTTTA